GGAGTTTCGCTCTTGTTACCCAGGCTGGAGTGCAATGGCGCGATCTCAGCTCACCGCAACCTCCGCCTCCTGTGTTCAGGCAATTCTCCTGCCTCAGCCTCCTGAGTAGCTGGGATTATACAGGCACGCGCCACCATGCCCAGCTAATTTTTTTGTATTTTTACTAGAGACGGGGTTTCAGCATGTTGACCAGGATGGTCTCGATCTCTTGACCTCGTGATCCACCCGCCTCAGCCTCCCAAAGTGCTGGGATTACAGGCGTGAGCCACCGTGCCCGGCGAGAAACCCCATTTCTACTAAAAATACAAAACTAGTCAGGCGTGGTGGTGCATGCCTATAAACCCATTACTTGGGAGGCTGAGGCAGAATCACTTAAACCCAGGAGGCGGAGGTTGCAGTGAGCCAAGATCATACCACTGTAGTCCAGCCAGCCTAGACGACAAAGTAAGAGTCCAACTTAAATAGCAGAATGTCTAGTGACATTTTTCCGAGGTCTTTTCTGAATCTGTAGGCTCTGAGAACCTGTAGGTTTAACTCCCGTGGTGTTGTTTATGGAAGTGTTTCTCTTGTGGACTCTGCTGGTTCTGCAAAGCTGACACCCCAGCATTCGTGGGCCTCCTGAATTCTGCCACACTGACGTGTGTTTCTCTTTGGCCAGGGTGAGGACCCTTTCACCAATGAAACTGTTGATCCAGAAATGGAAGGAGATGACAATTTAGAAGGTGAGGATAAGAAAGAGACACCTGAGGAGGTGGCCACAGACGTCTTAGCCGAGGTGATCACGGCAGCAGTGAGGGCAGTCGACAGGGAAGGGGCGCCGGCTCTGGAGAGCAGCGGGGAGCCAGCTGAGGGCAAAGGCCCTGTGGACACAGCAGAGGCTAGTAGTGATCCTGAAGCTGAACAGCCCCTGGAAGAGCAGGTGCCCTGCGGAACAGCATCTGAGAAGGGTGTCGTGGAGGCAGGAAGTGGCACCGAGACAATGGCAGCAGAGGGAGAAAGTGCCCAAACCAGAGCAGCTCCTGCCCCAGCTGCCACGGATACCGAAGCGGAACAAACTGGTGCCGAGTCCAAAGATGCTGTTGTCACAGAATGATGCTCATTTCCCTGTTCCAGGGGAGGTGTTGGATGATGGACGTGTTGCTCTTTCTCCCTTGGTTTGTAAGCAGAACAAGGGTGTGTGCTACCGGGATACACTGTAAACTGATTTTGGTGAAGAGACCCAGCCATTTCCTCCTGGGCAGAGAGAGCCCCTCGGCTTGTCTCACGCAGTCATGTGGCTTCTTGCCTGCGTTTGAGAGCTGCAGAAGTACCTTTTCCTTAGCGGCTGTAACATTTCTCTTGACACTGCACTTGGAATAATAAAGGTTGGGTGATTACAGCTTGATGATACTTTGCTTATTCAATACAACCACTGACTGAATGCGTCCTTTTTTTTGTCCTTAACTTTTTTTTTTGGTTGGGAACAGCTCAACACTAGGAATATACCTTGCTCTACAGGGTATTTTTGTTTTTTACATTTCAAGCTTCAGCCTTTAACCTGTATCTTTGTAGCACTCTGTATGGTGAGTGACCTTTACAGGACTTGGCAGCACCTGGTTCAATGTGGCGTTCACTACGTCACGTCCACGTGCGCAGAGGCCAGAAGAATCTGACCAACCTACGCCACTAGAAGCACACCCACCTCACCCTCAAGAGCCAGACTGTCCAGAGGGCACTGTTTCCAACGGTTAGTCTCACGGCATTGCTTCTCTCATGTTTTACCTCCTTTGTGTTCCACCTCTAGATTAGTTCAGGTTTTTTCCTTTAAAATGAGTTACTCCCACTCAAACACATTTACAAAGAAAATTTGGTGGGTCGTAGTGGCACATGCTTATAATCCCAGCAGTTTAGGAGCCTGAGACAGGAGGATAGCTTAAGCCCAGGAGTTCCAGACCAACCTGGACAACATAGCAAGACCCCATCTCAGAAAGAAAACGTGATGTGATTCCCATAGATGGAATAATCCAACATAAACTGCCATAGATAGAAGCTATCTATTACAAAATAATAATATAATGAAATACATGTTTCACTTTAGAGAAACAGCTATTACTTTAGACCTTTCTGAATCTGAGAAAGGGAGGCTAGCATGTGTTCAAAGTTAGCACACAGAATTTCCTAAAATCAGAAGAGTCAAGATCCCTTTTGAAATGGCCGTGCTGTGTCAGTTTCCCTGTGGCCTTTTGAACTGTATACATCTCACAACATGGACCACTGGGGAATCATTAGAAAAGGAGGCAGTAAAATAACTTGGTGATTCTCTACTGTATACCAGGAGCTAACATGATACACGTTCTAGGAATTGGGCCCTGTTCATGAGGAGCTTTACTGGAGATTCCGGGTGAATGAAGAAATCAACATTAGAACTAAAAATGGAAATAAACTGCTTGATGAGACGATGGTGCCTCTGGGTCATTTCTGCTCAGCATCTGTTCACGTTGCATAGATGCGCCTTCTTCGCAGGCTGAATATGCCCTTTAAGCTTATTCTCTTGGCTGGGCAAGGTGGCTCACGCCTGTAAGCCCAGCAGTTTGGGTGGCCAAGGCGGGTGGATCACTTGAGGTCAGGAGTTCGGGACCACTCTGGCCAACATGGTGATCTGTCTCTACTAAAAATACAAAAATTAGCTGGGCGCCATGATACACGACTGTAGTCCTAGGTACTCAGGAGGCTGAGGCAAGAGAATCGCTCAAACCTGGAAGGTGGAGATTGCAGTGAGCTGAGATCACACCACTGAACTCTAATCTGGGCAACAGAGTGAGACTCTGTCTCTAAAAAAATAAAAATAAATAATTTTAAAAAGCTTGTTCTCTTAAAGCAAAAACGTTGGTAGTACTGAACATCAGTAGTGCAAAAAACGGTAGTGGAACTGCTTTATTTCCTTAATTTTATTTTCCCTTTTTTTTTTGGAGGCAGAAATCTCATACTGTTGTCCAGGCTGGAGTGCAGTAGCGCAATCTTGGCCTTACTGCAATCTCCACCTCACAGGTTCAAATGATTCTCCTGCCTCAGCCTCCCAAGTGGCTGGGATTACATGCACCCACCACCATGCCAGTACAGACAGATTTCACCATGTTGGCCAGGCTGGTCTTGAACTCCTGACCTCAGGTGATCAGCCCGCCTCAGCCTCCCAAAGTGCTAGGATTACAGGTGTGAACTGCTGCACCCCCCCCCAACCCGACCACCTTTTTTTTCCCCCGAAAAATTCAAGACCTGGCCGGTTTTGGTGGCTCACACCTGTATTCCTGGCACTTTAGGAGGTCAAGGCAGGTGGATCACTTGAGGTCAGGAGTTTGAGACCAGCCTGGTCAACATGGCAAAACCCTGTCTATACCACAAATCAGCCAGATGTGGTCGCTTACTGGGGAGGCTGAGGCAGTTGAACCAGGGAGGCAGAAGGTGCAGTGAGTCAAGGTTGCACTACTGCACTCCAGCCTGGGTGACAGAGCAAGATTTTGTCTCAAAAAACTAAATATCAATTCAAGACCTGTCATTACATTAATCTGAATGTCAATGAGGCTCTTCCACCTTCCATCTATTGTGAAACTACATAATTGCTTTTTAAAATTTTTACAGGCATGGTTTCACTGTGTTGCCCAGGCTGGAGTGCAGTGGCACCACTCTAACTCACTGCAGCCTCCAAATCGTGGTTTCAAGCAATCCTTCCACCTCAGCCTCCTGATTAGCTGGGACTACAGGAGGGCACCACCATGCCCAGCTAATTTTTAAAAGTCTTGTTGTAGAGCTAGGCATGGTGGCTCACTCCTATAATCCCAGCACTGGGAGGCCAAGGCAGTTGGATCACCTGAGGTCAGGAG